CATATAATTAAATTAAAATATTTGATTACAATGATTCTAACTATTTCTTTTAATGATTAAATTAATAGATCTCTTAATTATTTTCTCAATGAATTGATTAGTTTTAGTTGTTTAATTTAATATTGGTTTTGTTATAATAGAATTAATCCTCTATTACATTGTTGTTGAAAAAATTACAAAAAAAATTAAAAATAATTTTATTCAAATTAGTGTACTGAGTGTTCACACTATTTTCTTTCTTCAATTTTTTTTATTATAATTGAATAATTTATGAAAAAAATAAAAACAAAAATTTTATATTATTTATGCTATAGTATCTGTGCAATGATAAAATCAGATCTGAATAATATATATTAAAATAAGAAATAAAAATATTTGTACAAAATTATTTAAATTTAAATTTAAATGAAAATAATTTTAAATAATAATTTAATCTTTTTTTGACTATGTTAAATGCAATTAATTTGGAATATTAATTTATAATTGTTCTTCTATCCTAAAGAGTAATTTTAGAGTTAAACAAACATAAAAGTATACAAAAGTGTTTGTCAAAATTTATTTTTCAATTGTAAGCAATTTAATTTTGCTTTTGTCAAGTTTTATCTTTATCTCGTTTGTGAAACACTACTTCAAATAATTATTTTTAATTCATTTTCTTTTCAATTAATTTATCATTTTTTATTTCAAATTCTATATTTATTTTATTTTATTATATCAATTTTAAATAAATATTTTCTATAAATTATTTTCAATTTTCTTTTCTTAAAATATTACTATAAGAAATTTTAAAATCAATTCATAATTATTTAATATAGTAAGAGATTATTGAAATGCACGATAAAGTTCATTTAGAAAAAAGATTATTGAATAAAAACAATTATGATTTTATTTTTCTATTCTGTTTAAAAGAAAAAGAAAAAAATTGGAGATAAATATTAAAAAAAAAATTTTTTGAAAAATTTTAAAAATATAATTTGTTGGTAATTGTAGATTGATAAACTTTTATTTATAAGATTTTTTATTAAATAATTAAAAATATCGAAAAATCGAAATTGACGTTAATTTAAATGAATAAAATATTTATTTAAAATAAAAGTCAATATCTGAAATATATCAAACATAATTAAATTTGTATGTATTCATAATTCAATATCTTATTTCTTTAATGTAATATAATTCTAAGATTAGGTTAAATATATCAACAAAAAATTATTGTTTTCAATTAGATATAATTGATAAGCAATGCATTCCATTAATATCATACAAAATTGATTTCTATTAATCACTTATAATAACTTATCAAATAATCGTACCTCTCATAACAGTGTATCGATTGTAATTAAATCACAATTTATATGACATAACGAAATATGATATTTAATATTTATATAATATTTATACTGATAAAATATGAAATTAAATATTTAAAAAAATATATATTCAAATAAACTTCTTTTCAACATTAAAATATTTAAACACTTTTTCAATATTATACTTTCATAATTACCTAAATGTAAATAAAACGAAGTTAGTTAAATGTATGTATGTAAATATTTGCAACAGTATTTCAACTGAAATCACCAGTTAACTAACGAGTCATCAGACTGACTCAAACATATATACATATATAGTATATATAGGAATGTGGAGGGGAGTTAGAAAACCGTCAATGAAAAAGGAAGTAATAATAATCATTCGCGTAGAATATTCATGTTCTATTCACAAACTTATGACCTCAAATTATATAGAATCTAGAAATGAAGAATCTGAAGTTTTTAAATCATGATATAAAAAATAAATTATAAATATAATAATATATATTAAATCTATGTTTTATTTATTTTATGGAATTCATTTATAATAAAATAACACAAATAATTTTTCTTTTATTACATTGCAAATCAGCATTCCTCCCATTACTTAATTTCTCACCAATTCTATAATCACAGTATTGATCTATCAATAAATATATCACAATAGATTTGAATTTTTTTAAGAAAGATGAAAGGTCATGATTAATCAGAATGAATTTCTAATTCACAATAATTTTCAAGCAGTAAGATTTGAAAAATCACTATTATTTAATATGAATTATTATATCGAGAATGAGAATACAATTATATTATTATTTTATAAGAAATAATTGGCTTCAAATTATATTTTTCATATAAAAAATTTATTAAGTTAATGGATAACATTTTAATTTCTAAAATTGTAAAACATAAGTATAAATTTTTATTTTATATTTTTTAAGTGACTTAATTTTTTATATTTAGATTATAAAATACTAGATAGCAAGAAATACTCTAATACTCTTTTTTGAAGTCGATATTTCAAAAGGTGTGTTACAAAGTTCCATAAGATGTCACTACATATCACATCTATTATATTCCTCATCTATGTCAAAAAATGCGTTTTATCATTTGTAGATAACAATAGAACAGCAACTTTCCATCTATCTATAATAATGATAAAATATACAAATATTTATAAATGATATTCAAAATTGTCAAAAAAAATAAACGTATTTAAAATATATTTTAAATATTTGTGAATAAATATTTTTATTTTTATTTAAAAAAAATTCGTATGCAATTTTAAATTATGGACAAAATTGAATTCTTATAGTATTATCATAGACAGTTTTCTTTTTACTTAATATTTCAATTTTTAATATTTTCATTTTTTTTTTTGAAATCTTTATGATTACAATAAATGAAATCTTTAAATTGAAAGTATTTAGAAATTAATAGGAAGATAATTATATAATATAATATTTTTTTTATTTTCATTTTCATTAATTCATTAATAATTTATTAAAATTAAATATTACGAGAGTTTCAATGGAAACAAAAATGTTACTATTGTTAATATGAAGTTTTAAAATTAAATTTAAATTTATATCTTGTTTTCTTTTTTTGGAATATGTATTATTACAATCTTCATTATATTTTAATTTTTAACGTACAAAGATTAAAACTTTGATATCATGACTCAATAATGTCGTTTTTTATAAACATCTTTTAAAATAATAATAATTATAACTAGCGTTTACAGATGGAGATGCATGCAACTCCAACAAATGAAACGAAATGGCTCCTCTAATGTTTTGATTTCCTAATAATGTCCGGCATTTTGCGACCGCCGTTGCTACCGTGGCATCGTGGTTTTAGTATAGTTATTATCCACATAAGGAATAGTTCATATAAAAATGCTCGAAACGTGGAAATTTTCAACGATGCGGAACAAAACGTAAATACATGTTCTCTAACGATTGTAAAGACATGGACTTAGAGCGTAATAACATCCATGCGAATATTCTCTTGTGAATTGTACTCAAGTATATATCTATTCCAGTCAGGTATTGACTATTTTACAGATGCTTTCCTTTCGATTCGATTTTTGAAAGGCGATATAGGATATGATATAATAATACATCTATTAAGATGAAAATTCAAGTTTTTATAAGACAATAATAAAAATGGATATTCATAGATTGTTTCCATTTTCAATATCAATATATTATATCAATATTTCGTTTAAGAATATTTTTTTTCTATATATTATTATTTTTAATTATTTATGAAATATAGTACACCTATAAAGTTATTCGTGAACAATAATTTTTAAAAGTTTGTTAATAAAAATTGTTGTTGTAATGAATATTTTACGCAAGTAAAGTAATAAAATAAATATATTTATATCTGTGAATATTATATGTATATATGATAGTATACTAAAGATATTGAAATTCACATCACTGTTCAATTTATCATTGAATTAAATAATTAAAAATGTTTTAGTTTACAATTAGCATAGAATATTTGTGTATGAATTTCATATGCAAATATTAATTATATTATATAACTTTTTTTAATTGTCAATATATATTTGTGCAGAAATATTCAAGTTTAAATTTATAAATATCATGTATTTCTCATATAACTATCTTGTACACTCTACTTTCCTAATAACGAAAATCTCGAAAAGAATCTATCACAATATTGATAATATATTTCAATATAATTTTCTTTTTTCTTTCTTTTATTCTAGATATTGGGAATAAATAATGGAATAAATCACTGCAAAATATATTGAAATCATTTGAAGCCAATTTATAAACAAGAGAATATCATTTTTAATTTATCTGATACAAATATTCGTTTATATATATATGTACTTCGTATATATATACTTATTTACAAAATGTTATTATATTACATTATACAAGATAAGATAATCATGTTAAGGATCATCAAGTAAAAAATCTCATGTAGATTAAATATTTTCACTTATATATAATATAAGTAATATATATAATATAATATAATATATTATATATAATATATATAAACATACGTACAAAAATAATATAAATTTTAATTTTATTTATTTTTAGAAATCAAGAATTTTTTTATTAGATTTTTATTAGCTATTTTTTTAAAATAGTATTTTATCAATGAAATATTTAGAAATATAATACTTAAGCATATTTAAATTCAAATAAATAATTTTGTGACTTTTTTTATAAGTTTTAAACTATTACTTCAAACTTTCTTAAATAGCTTCATATAATAATAATTTCTATTTCTCCTTGAAATATTTCATCTGTCAGATAATCATTTGGGAAATTCCTTTCTCTTGTTGTCAAAACTTAATTAATGCAAATTTGCAATCGTGAGAAATGTGACGTTTCCTAACGGAATGAACGGAAGGAGTTGAGGATGACTTAATATTATAGCGGAAATGCCGCTGGTAATTTGAGATCGTATCGGTGTCTACTACATAGTTAATTTGTGGAACAAGATTCAATACAGAAATGGTGATGAAATTATCGTTATTAAATATATATGCATTCAATTTAATTTATTTACGTCTTAATTTCGTTTTTTTACATTTGATTTACGTTTTCTCATTAGTATTTTAACAAATTTGTCTTATATCTAATTTTATTTTTATTTTTATTTGTTCGTCTTACCTAAGTTAATTTTGATTTTAATGATTATTTATTTATCTAATTTTAATCATTGTTTAAACATAGCTTTTTTTTCAATAATCTTTATTAACTTGTCGATACATTTCGCACATTCTTGTACATTTTTGTGATCAATATCGTATACCTAAAGAAATTAGAGAAAAAAGTAATATAATTATTATATATATATATATATATATATATATATATATATTTGCTTAAGAAAAAAAATTATAAAAACAAATTTATAAATGCATACTCGTTTAGCAAACTGTGACTTCAGTCTCTTGTCTTTAACTATCATTTTTTCACCTGATTTAAGATTTTTGAACGTTTTCACTCGCAAAGGGCCGAATCTTCTTCGAAATTCTTTTATATTATTATCGCAAATATTTTCAATATGTAGAAGTTTCCCGTGTATTTTACGCTGTCGTTCTCCTAATCTGTCTACTTTTTTTGTAAACTTGTCCATGTCTCTATAGCCATGGTAGTAATCATGTCTCATTTTTATTCTTAAATCTTCTTTTATCTAAATACAATATCAAATTATTATCATTAATAATATTGTTATTTATATCAAAATAAAATTCTATATTGTTTTATTTACGAATAAAAATACATGTTATTTATTAATAAAATTTAACCTTTCACTTTAAAGAAATTAATAGAAATTAAAAAAATATATAATCACTTGTTTGAGTTCGTTTGTCACTTCAAGTTTAAATGATTCTGGCAGGTTTGGATGTTTACTGAAAATTCTATCGATTCGTGCTTCGTTCGAATCCATCCACGAATCGATTTTTTTATCAATGCTTTCATTGCCGTAATCGATCAGGAATGATCTTTCTTCGTTTACGTTGTCGATCACTTTTGATAAAACCTCACCACTCCAATATAAAACACGATCTCTTTCCTTCAATAAATCTGCCCATGTATGAGGCATGCGTCCCACCGTTTGCCCCATTGTTGACGTTGTGCGAGACATAACCGTCAAAATCTATATTACAGTCAATGATCTATCGATTCAACGCCCTCTGCTTGAAAATTAGACATATACCATACATAGTGCCCTCTGTCATCCATCGTGTTAGATTCGTTTTGTTTTCCTTTCAGTTTAAATGAAATTTAGAAACAAGAGTGTGTCGTTAGTTTTGCTTGTTGTCAGTTTCGTTCCTTTTCGTGTTTGTTTTGTGAAATTTGTATCAAGTAAACAGGTGGCAAGATTATCCTTCTCTTTAGTTCTACGATGTAAAACGATTTTCGTTTTTTTTTTGTTACTTATCTGTGTGTTTGGTGGTTATTCGCCATATTGTTGAAAAATTGAAAAGAAAAAATCATGACATCGTTATGCATATATACGTATGTAGATAAAATTTTATATAAATATAACTATATAATTTATTTTATATAATGATTTCAATATCAATTTTTAATAAATAATGACATTTTAGGAATATTAAAAATTTTCGATTATTTCTATATGTATATCATATATAAATAAAATTGCAATATTTTTAATTCCATTATAAATAATTTTAATTAATTATAATTCCATTATAATTAATTTTATGAAATTTTGCTCTAGATGTTCATTTATTCATGAATATATAATAATTTTTAAATAGTAAAGTTTTGATATATAATTTATTTAAAATGTTATATTTTCGCTTATCATATTTCTAATTTGATTAGATTTTTCTAGTATTTTTTTTTACAAGTTTTGTTTTTTATATTATAATTGTGACTTTTAAAAATTAAGTTAAACAGAAAAGTAAAAATTATTTATGAGAGAATATATTTCTAAATACGATATTAAATAATATCGATTGTTTTAGTTAGATTGTTCGAATAATCGAAATATCTAATATTGACAATACCACTTTGTATTATCTATAAATTATTGATAGGGGTATGCGGGTACACGAAACTCTCTATGATCTATTACTATTGCGTATTTTGATTAAAATTTAGGCTTAAGATACTAATTATATCATATTATATAATATAATACTATATAATATTTATAATTTTAGAATTTTTACTTATTTTATTCCATTAATATTTTATGATTCTTTAATTTTTTTATTCTTTATAGTTTTTGTTTGGTTTCGCTATCAATTCAGTATCGATATCTATTAATAATATTTACTAATTTACTAATTTAATCTTTTATATCTTTTTTGTTTATTGTTTATTTTTGCTAAATCGTGAATTTTTACTATTATTATTTAAATATATATTTTTCATATTACACATGTCTTGTATATCATATAAATAATAAATAAATATTGTTTTTTTTATATTAATTTTATTTACATGATTGAATATTATAATAGATATTAATTAGTATAGATGGCGTTAAAAAGACACGTTTTCTTTTCCTTTTTCAATCTTTATCTTTCTTTTCGTCTCATGGCACTGTTTCGTATTGTTTACCATCATGTAAGTAAATAATATGATCATACAATGGTTGCAAACTTGGCTGGGTTGTCATAAAAGGTTGATTCTTCGCGAAGTGTCTGCGAGGATTACATTGAGCATGATTTCACGGTATCAGACATGGAAAAAGGAACTAGAGCGGACGTCCGCCCGTCTCGAAAGTCCGCGAAATTCAATCGTTGCATGGATGCCCGTGTCAGGGTGTCAATTCAAAGCAACGTAATCTGTGTTCAGCTCGACCAATAATCGGCTTATTGATTTCGATTCGAGGCTAAAACACCGTCCACAACAATGTTCATCGAGGCGAGTTGTTTTTCATTTTTTCTTTTTACGTTCTTTGTCTTTTCCAATTGACAATCGAGTTTCTGAGTATGGAGACGATTTTAATTTATTTTTAGAGGCGGATGTCCAGAACGTAGTATTTAAAACGCGATGGAAAAAGAGAAATAGGTGTAATTTAATTCCTCTACATAGAAATGATTTTTTTGTTTTTAGTTTAGTGCGGTTTTTTGTTATGTGATTTTTATTATGTGATTCTTTCATTGAGGATTATTTATATATGTATTACATATATTATTAGTATATTTTTATTAAGTTTAATAAATTTAGTGAATGTATTATTTTAAAAAATTTCACAATAATTAAATTTAAATTTTATTCTAATTAATAATTCTATGTACAGATAATAAGTTGAGAATTTTATTCGAAACAAAACAACTAACAATAATTTGTTATAATAATAGATTTTAAACACGTTTTTACTTTAAAAAAGTAAGAAAACTAGTTTCATTCTATATAAAATAAAACAAAATTATTTTCAAATAATTTTTTCGAATTAAATTAATGAATATATTTCATACAAAAAAATGAGTTACAAATTTCCATTTTTTTATTCTATAATAAATTATTAAAATTTGAATCTTTTTGGAATTTTTTATAGCGTGATGATATTTACTCTCAAAATTTATTTCATTTTAAACATGACATCAGAAAAATATTTAAATTACGATAAATCTGTCATTATAGAAATCGAAAAGAATTTCTACAGAAATAGCATACAAAAATATAGCAAATATTAGATAATCTTTTGAAATTATATAATAAAAGTTTTTATATATTATATTTTATTTAGTTTATTATATTTAGTTTTTATATTTTATATATTATAAATTATATAATAAAATTCAAGTTCAGTTATTAAATTGAATAACATAGAGAAATATCTTTGTTCGAGTAAAGTAAATAAAATCTAGCCCAATAAATATATTTTATTTTTAAGTATTTTATTTCAATATTATCTTGAGCTCGATAAACAAGCTACGAAAATGTAATTGAAATGATTTATCGCACTGGACACTATTTCGAAAAATAATTAAGTTGAAGAAAAACGCGCGCCACGTAGACTTGTAGATGCGAAATTAATATTGGAAACTCGTATCTTACAATGCATTTCAATTTCGTCGGGAGTTAATTAACCGTGGTATGAACCGCATACCTATCGTTTCATTTTCTCCCTGTATTTTGTTTAATTTCTATCTACTTTGTTCGCATTCAATTTGTTAAAACGCTGAATTTTCGGAATTTTTTTACGCAGAAAAAAGGAGCGTTAATTAGTTGCAATTTAAACGTTGGCAAAAACAAGAATGATCTTTCTTTTTTTTTTCTCGCGCAGATTTCGATGGTGGAAATTTTTTCCTTTCTTTTTCTTTTTTCGTCGGTAGAATGTAAGTACAGTCGGTCGTAAAAGTATTTGTATTATTATCAAGAAAATCCATTTAATCCGAAAATTTTAATAAAAATATATAAATTAGTATACATGTCTGTAATAGTATGCAGTAATTTCTTTGACAAAAAAAAATGAAATCGACATTTAAATTTTCAATGAAAAAATATTTTTTAAAAAGTAAGATGAAAGATTAAAACTTGAACATATTTTAAGATTAAAAATTGAACACATTTTAAGATTAAAAATTTTATTTTATTTTCTAAACACTTGAAATATTTTATATTTTATATGATATTGCAAAACACGACATTTGATAAAATATAAAGATAAATATTTAAAAAATATATATATATGCAGATAAACTAGATTGATTTTTTATAATTTAAAATTTTCATTAATACAATTACAGCAATAAAAATGTTTCACCTTTGAAGTATCATAGAACGTATTTTGTTTAATTTGATTATTTATACCTTTTTGCATATCATGTGGATTCTATATATTTCTGTAGATCTAAATTTTCTACACATATATAAATTTTCATATGTAAATAAAGTTTGATAAATAAATCTCAAATAACATTTTTGTACAGCAAATTTTCTTTTGATCTCTAGAATTAACTATAATCCTATGATTTGTGTTTGTATGATAAATTGTGCTTAATATATTCACAATATTTTATAGAAAACAAAATTATTGTTGGTTTTGATAACACAATTTGTTAATTTATCTTGAAATATTTATTAATAAATATATAATTGACATTTTTGTGATTGGCTGTACAGAATCGTTTATATAAATATACCATCACTTTGGTTGTGTTTAATTACGACGACGATTAATCCCTACAGTTGTAAATATTCAAATTTCGATGACGTTTTACGCTGGTTTCGTTGGGCATCGTCACGATAAAATAAAATTGCGATATTTTCTCTTTCCCCACTTAGATGTATGACGCAGAAGGATGAGAGTTTTTATAAACTTTTGTATTTATAAATATTTTGTCACGCGTTAAATTGCGATGTTACAAGGTTGCTTTTCATTTTGTAGCACCACTCTCAGGGAATTGAGATGAGACAGAAAGTAATTTATTTATGTGAATATAAAAATTCAAAAATTCGTATGAAAATAGAAAGGAAAAAGATGTATAGAAATTGTGATAAATAATTTATGATGTCATAATAATTTATAAAATTTAATTCTTTATAAATAATAAAAACATTGAACTTTTTGATTAAATCTCATATAACAGATAATAATATTTTCATAGAATTATATTTCTATGAATAAAGATATATTATTATATATATTATTATATATTATAATATATTTTATATATTATTATTATTATTATATATTATTATTATTAAAGATTTATATATTAAATAATGTAATAAGTATTTCATTTATGTTTTATATATATATATTTTTTTTTGCATATTGTTTACAATTATCACGACAACAATAGAAAACAATTAAAAAGAATTATATAGAATGTAATTAAAAATTAAAAATAAAAAGAAAGAAATCGAATTCATCAGAATATTTTTATCAAATACATTTTGATACAGAATAAGTTCAAAGTGAGTTCAAATTTTTGTTCATAAAATTCAATGAAAATGAAAACTTTTTAGTATTTTACTGCGATTCGATTTGTTTCGAATTTCGTGTAACTCGTTTCCACGAATTGCTCCACAAAATATAGATCAATGGAGTTTCAAATAATATTCATTTTCGAAAATTAAACCCTGTCATAAAGAATTTCGCATTCGTTTGATCATTTCTTCATTTCTTCATTG